TAGTGATGCACGTGTTTCTGTGAATGTGTCCTAGTGTCCTGATGCACGTGTCTCCGTGAATGTGATGCACGTGCCTCTGTCAGTGTGTCCTAGTGTACTGATGCACGTGTTCCTGTGAATGTGTCCTAGTGTCCTGATGCACGTGTCTCCGTGAATGTGATGCACGTGCACGTGTTTCTGTGAATGTGTCCTAGTGTCCTGATGCACGTGTTCCTGTGAAGGTGTCCTAGTGTACTGATTCACGCATATGCACGTGTTTCTGTGAATGTGTCCTTGTGTACTGATTCACGTGTCTCTGTGAATGCGTCATTGTGTACTGATGCACGTGTTTCTGTGAATGTGTCCTTGTGTACTGATGCACGTGTTTCTGTGAATGTGTCCTAGTGTACTGATGCACGTGTTTCTGTGAATGTGTCCTAGTGTACTGATGCACGTGTTTCTGTGAATGTGTCCTAGTGTACTGATGCACGTGTTTCTGTGAATGTGTCCTTGTGTACTGATGCACGTGTTTCTGTGAATGTGTCCTAGTGTACTGATGCACGTGTTTCTGTGAATGTGTCCTAGTGTACTGATGCACGTGTCTCCGTGAATGTGATGCACGTACACGTGTTTCTGTGAATGTGTCCTAGTGTACTGATGCACGTGTTCCTGTGAAGGTGTCCTAGTGCCCTGATTCACGCATATGCACGTGTTTCTGTGAATGTGTCCTAGTGTACTGATTCACGTGTCTCTGTGAATGCGTCATTGTGTACTGATGCACGTGTTTCTGTGAATGTGTCCTTGTGTACTGATGCACGTGTTTCTGTGAATGTGTCCTAGTGTACTGATTCACGTGTCTCTGTGAATGCGTCATTGTGTACTGATGCACGTGTTTCTGTGAATGTGTCCTTGTGTACTGATGCACGTGTTTCTGTGAATGTGTCCTAGTGTACTGATGCACGTGTTTCTGTGAATGTGTCCTAGTGTACTGATGCACGTGTCTCCGTGAATGTGATGCACGTGCACGTATTTCTGTGAATGTGTCCTAGTGTACTGATGCACGTGTTCCTGTGAATGTGTCCTAGTGTACTGATGCACGTGTTTCTGTGAATGTGTCCTAGTGTCCTGATGCACGTGTTTCTGTCAATGTGTCCTAGTGTAGTGATGCACGTGTCTCTGTGAATGTGTCCTAGCTAGTGTACTGATGCACGTGTTTCTGTGAATGTGTCCTAGTGTCCTGATGCACGTGCCTCTGTCAGTGTGTCCTAGTGTACTGATGCACGTGTTTCTGTGAATGTGTCCTAGTGTACTGATGCACGTGTCTCCGTGAATGTGATGCACGTGCACGTGTTTCTGTGAATGTGTCCTAGTGTCCTGATGCACGTGTTCCTGTGAAGGTGTCCTAGTGCCCTGATTCACGCATATGCACGTGTTTCTGTGAATGTGTCCTTGTGTACTGATTCACGTGTCTCTGTGAATGCGTCATTGTGTACTGATGCACGTGTTTCTGTGAATGTGTCCTTGTGTACTGATGCACGTGTTTCTGTGAATGTGTCCTAGTGTACTGATGCACGTGTTTCTGTGAATGTGTCCTAGTGTCCTGATGCACGTGTCTCCGTGAATGTGTCCTAGTGTATTGATGCACGTGTTTCTGTGAATGTGTCCTTGTGTCCTGATGCACGTGTTCCTGTGAATGTGTCCTAGTGTACTGATGCACGTGTTTCTGTGAATGTGTCCTTGTGTCCTGATGCACGTGTTTCTGTGAATGTGTCCTTGTGTACTGATGCACGTGTTTCTGTGAATGTGTCCTAGTGTCCTGATGCACGTGCCTCTGTCAATGTGTCCTAGTGTACTGATGCACGTGTCTCTGTGAATGTGTCCTAGTGTAGTGATTCACGTGTCTCTGTGAATGTGTCCTTGTGTACTGATGCACGTGTCTGTGAATGTGTCCTTGTGTACTGATGCACGTGTTCCTGTGAAGGTGTCCTAGTGTACTGATGAACGTGTCTCTGTGAATGTGTCCTTGTGTACTGATGTACGTGTCTCTGTGAATGTGTCCTAGTGTACTGATGCACGTGTTTCTGTGAATGTGTCCTTGTGTACTGATGCACGTGTCTCTGTGAATGTGTCCTTGTGTACTGATGCACGTGTATCTGTGAATGTGTCCTTGTGTACTGATGCATGTGTTCCTGTGAATGTGTCCTTGTGTACTGATTCACGTGTTTCTGTGAATGTGTCCTAGTGTACTGATGAACGTGTCTCTGTGAATGTGTCCTAGTGTCCTGATGCACGTGTCTCTGTGAATGTGTCCTAGTGTCCTGATGCACGTGTCTCTGTGAATGTGTCCTTGTGTACTGATGCACGTGTCTTAGTGAATGTGTCCTAGTGTACTGATGCACGTGTTTCTGTGAATGTGTCCTTGTGTACTGATGCACGTGTCTCTGTGAATGTGTCCTTGTGTACTGATGCACGTGTCTCTGTGAATGTGTCCTTGTGTACTGATGCACGTGTTTCTGTGAATGTGTCCTTGTGTACTGATGTACGTGTCTCTGTGAATGTGTCCTAGTGTATTGATGCACGTGTCTCTGTGAATGTGTCCTTGTGTACTGATGCACGTGTTTCTGTGAATGTGTCCTTGTGTACTGATGCACGTGTTTCTGTGAATGTGTCCTTGTGTACTGATGCACGTGTTTCTGTGAATGTGTCCTTGTGTACTGATGCACGTGTCTCTGTGAACGTGTCTTAGTGTATTTACGTTACATAGATCTATTAAACAGGTTTCGAGTCAGCTTTTCGACATAAGACAGTGAGTAATATTATTTTACAAATGACATACTGCATTTAATTATTTCGCCAATACGGAGGCGCTAATATCTGTTTGTTTAAATTATTCCACAAAAAAACATTTTAAAGTTGTGTGTATATTCCATTTTATGAGATCCTGCTACATCTGACCTTAAAGAGAAATACCTATTTTTTCACAAAAGAGGGAGTTTAACGCCGCTTTGAACAGTATTTCAGTTAAATCACGGCGTGTCAGCTTAACGTGAGAAGAAAGCCCTATGTGATGCAGGTCTTAGACGTTTACCACTTAAGTAAACGCCACGAGAACGGACTCGCTGAAAAACCTAGAAACATAATCAGGGCGAACCGGGAATCGAACCCACGATCTTAGGTTTCTGCCGTACACAGGGGAAGCAACTCTGCACACCGAATCTCATGATTTCTCCATTACATTAATATATCTGAATTATATGCTGATAACCTTGTTTGTAGACTAACTCTCCACAACTCTACCAATGATGGCAATACTCAATTATTTCACATCCATCACATTTCTTACCTCATGCGCCTTAATGTAAAGAATAATACATAACCACACGCCAAAACTTGAGACCTGAGTTTTTCGACACAATTTATGCAAAACGAGGCGACATTGTGTCACCCCCGTTAATCCGCTCAGTGCCAAGTCTGTGTTGACGAGTCTGCTACGTATCCCTATTTGCAATTACATCAAATACTACCGCCCTTCACTGCTTGGCTACTGCTTGGTATTCTGTATACGTATAGCTAATGATGGCTTTCAAAAAATCGATACTAACCGATGAGAACATTATTCTTTCTTTCGTTGGAAGGTGTATCTAATCATGTTTGCTTTTTCTACCCAAGTTACTTCCCTTTGCTCAGTTGTGCATTTTCAGCCCTTGGCAACCGAGAACTGACCTCGTTACTTTTCGTACGTTCCGTTACGAAGCGTTCAAAATATGGGCATATGACCTTGCCCTTGTTCGGCACAACTCAATATGTATATAATTTATATATTGTTTGGAGGTGGATTTTTAAATTTCATATGTCCAATCAGTCTACCCCATTTGTAGATGGACAATTTTAGAGTCAAGGTGTTATTCCTTTGGCTCTTTTCCTTCCTTCATTCCTTCCTTCCGTCCACACTGTCAGTCGTTCATGTTTCGTTGCTGCCTTACTGACTTGTTGGTGTTTATTCAGAAATACTGTCTCACGTCAATTTGTAGCTTCATTCATTAATACATGCCACGTTCTTATGGATAACAACTTTACTGTTATCCACATTAAGAGTCATAATATTCGCATTCGTCCAACGTCCAAAGATCTATAAAATACGAGCTTCATTCATTCGTTCGTTCGTTCGTTCATTCGTTCGTTCATCCGTTTGTTTTTAATTCACGTATACACTAAGCAATAAGTTCGCAATACCGTATTTTTAACTTAATTTATTCGACCCGTGAAGATCCGGGGTAGAATAGGTCTTCAGCAACCCATCCCTGACGTAAAGGGCGACTAACGGGATCGGGTGGTCAGGCTCGCTGACTTGGTTGATGCATGTCATCGATCCCAATTGCGTGGATTGATGCTCATGATATCAATCACTGGATTGTCTGGTCCAGACTGGATTATTTACAGACCGCCGTCATACAGCTGGAATATTGCCGAGTGCGGCGTTAAACAACAAACAAACAAACAACCAACAACTTAGCATATTCATTTCCACGCCCTGACACTGTCAGTGACAACTTTCCCCCCTGTTTTAGTCTAGTTAGTGTCAAGGAATCATCCTTCTAGGATATCCCCTCTTAATATTTAACCGATGCTCACAGCGACCAGCACTGTGTAGATAACACAATAGACTCCCTGCCAAACATCGACTGCTGGCAGATACGGGATTCAACTCGAATTAAATGACCCCGACTGCATCCTCGAGTCGGCCACTGGGACCCGACCCGCGCCTCTCGCCCTGGCGCCATCTTTCTACTTTGTCTGAAAAAGGCGAAAGCAATTTCTTTTGGAGAGACCAACACCTTCTTGAATGATATGATTATTATTGTGAGGATCAAGTGCCAGCCTCCATTTAAGTCTGCTCCCCCGGGACGTGTTCTGTTCGTGTTTGAGACGAGAGCGAGTACCTCGTTACTTGGGCATTACTGGTCACGTGACCCTCTCTCACACTTCTCGCGAGAGTGTACATGCGCGGGTTCTCCCTAGGCGTTTCCCTGCTCGGTTGTGGGAATCGGTCATACATTACTAAAGCCTCAGTCTGTGGCACCAGTCTTCCTATAGATCGGTGTTTCACAGCGAGCTCCATCTTGATTGACAACGGCAGATGTACACAGCACACATCTCAAGTCTCCTCCCGACCAGGAAGCGTCCTTATTGAAAGTATGAACACTCTTCCCTTTAGGATATTTACATAAGAATTTGACACAAGGTGGTATTGTAGCTCCGAGGTGAACAAGATGCCTCTGTAACAAGCTTTATAACTATCAACCGACGTGTGACCCTCCGAAATTGTTTCTTAAGAGTCTTCAATGAGTTGGGCATGTCGCGTTTGACTTTTTCTTTGTCGGGGGATTAGTACTTGACTTAGAAGACAAAGCTGATCAATAAATCGTTATAGGAAATTTCATTAGGCCCTGGCAGTACGGAGGAAGACTCCAACTTTCTTTCATCATTTCCGTGTGTAAATGCACCAACGCCGGACGGGAAACAGTGCCGGAGGTGGGGGTCTCTCTAAAAGTCAATCTACGAAACACGGATTCACATAATCGGACTCGGATTACGGATCCTACTTTTGGTTATCCTGGTCTTGGACTTAAAGCTTTAGATTGAAAGGTAAGAGATTTGAGTAGTTTCACTATATATCCTTTTTAAAGGGAGTGATGTGTTGTTGAATTTAGTGGACAACTGTCCATGCATAAGGTCAGGTATCTTTAAAACGTTATCCGTGAAGATCCGGGTCAGAATTGGTCTTCAGCAACCCATGCTTGCCGTGAAAGGCGACTATGCTTGTCGTAAGAGGCGACTAACGGGATCGGGTGGTCAGGCTCGCTGACTTGGTTGATGCATGTCATCGTATCCTTACTGCGTAGATCGATGCTCATGATGCCAATCACTGGATTGTCTGGTCCAGACTTGAATATTTACAGACCACCGTCATACAACAACAACAAACAAGAAAATCTTATAAACGTTTGTTGAAATTTACAAGAAGCACTGACAAGAGATATCAACTGTTGTAGCCGTTTCTAAAGTTTTAAGTGAAGGAACTGACCCGATGGTTTCTCCTATCCTGGTAGTGTTCCAATATCATGGTGAGTAAGGTCGGTGTCGTCACTATTACAGTATATCAACGTGGCCTGCCGTTACAGAATCAGGAAACACACCAGCACTGAAACAGGCCGTCAGGCTGAGATTATACAGCCATCAGTGTCACAGATAATATATTCTCTGTATCTGTCGTTCTTGCATCCATTGTTATAATATTTAGGAGTAATGGTGTTGCGTACGTGACATTCACAATCTTCACAAACGTCTCAGACTTTAACGTACATGTCATTCACCATCTTCGCTACCCTCTTAGAGGGCGGTCGGGTAGCCTAGTGGTTAAAGCGTTCGCTCGTCACGCCGAAGACCCGGGTTCGATTCCCGACATGGGTACAATGTGTGAAGCCAATGTCTGGTGACCCCCGCCGTGATATTGCTGGAATATTGCTAAAAGCGGCGTAAAACCATACTCACTCACTCACCGTCTTAGACATTAACGTACATGGCATTCATAATCTTCACTAACGTCTTAGACATTAACGTACATGACATTCACAATCTTTACTAACGTTTTAGACATTAACGTACATGGTATTCATAATCTTCACTAACGTTTTAGACTTTAACGTACATGGCATTCACAATCTTCACTAACGTCTTAGACATTAACGTACATGGCATTCACAATCTTCACTACCGTCTTAGACATTAACGTACATGGCATTCACAATCTTCACTAACGTCTTAGACTTTAACGTACATGGCATTCACAATCTTCACTAACGTCTTAGAAATTAACGTACATGGCATTCACAATCTTCACCAACGTCTTAGACTTTAACGTACATGACATTCACAATCTTCACTAACGTCTTAGACATTAACGTACATGGCATTCACAATCTTCACTAACGTCTTAGAACATTAACGTACATGGCATTCACAATCTTCACTAACGTTTTAGACTTTAACGTACATGGCATTCACAATCTTCACCAACGTCTTGGACTTTAACGTACATGGCATTCACAATCTTCACTACCGTCTTAGACATTAACGTACATGGCATTCACAATCTTCACTAACGTTTTAGACTTTAACGTACATGGCATTCACAATCTTCACTAACGTCTTAGACATTTACGTACATGGAATTCACAATCTTCAATAACGTCTTAGACTTTAACGTACATGGCATTCACAATCTTCACTAACGTCTTAGACATTAACATACATGGCATTCACAATCTTCACTACCGTCTTAGACATTAACGTACATGGCATTCACAATCTTCACTAACGTCTTAGAAATTAACGTACATGGCATTCACAATCTTCACTACCGTCTTAGACATTAACGTACATGGCATTCACAATCTTCACTACCGTCTTAGACATTAACGTACATGGCATTCACAATCTTCAACAACGTCTTAGACTTTAACGTACATGACATTCACAATCTTCACTAACGTCTTAGACATTAACGTACATGGCATTCACAATCTTCACTACCGTCTCAGACATTAACGTACATGACATTCACAATCTTCACTAACGTCTTAGACTTTAACGTACATGACATTCACAATCTTCACTAACGTCTTAGACATTAACGTACATGGCATTCACAATTTTCAACAACGTCTTAGACTTTAACGTACATGGCATTCACAATCTTCAACAACGTCGTAGACTTTAACGTACATGGCATTCACAATCTTCACAACCGTCTTAGACTTTAACGTACATGGCATTCACAATCTTCAACAACGTCTTAGACTTTAACGTACATGGCATTTACAATCTTCACTAACGTCTTAGACTTTAACGTACATGGCATTCACAATCTTCAACAACGTCTTAGACATTAACGTACATGACATTCACAATCTTCACTAACGTCTTAGACTTTAACGTACATGACATTCACAATCTTCACTAACGTCTTAGACTTTAACGTACATGACATTCACAATCTTCACTAACGTCTTAGACTTTAACGTACATGACATTCACAATCTTCACTAACGTCTTAGACATTAACGTACATGACATTCACAATCTTCACTAACGTCTTAGACATTAACGTACATGACATTCACAATCTTCACTAACGTCTTAGACTTTAACGTACATGACATTCACAATCTTCACTAACGTCTTAGACTTTAACGTACATGACATTCACAATCTTCACTAACGTCTTAGACATTAACGTACATGACATTCACAATCTTCACTAACGTCTTAGACATTAACGTACATGGCATTCACAATCTTCACTAACGTCTTAGACATTAACGTACATGGCATTCACAATCTTCACTAACGTCTTAGACTTTAACGTACATGACATTCACAATCTTCACTAACGTCTCAGACTTTAACGTACATGACATTCACAATCTTCACTAACGTCTTAGACTTTAACGTACATGACATTCACAATCTTCACTAACGTCTTAGACATTAACGTACATGGCATTCACAATCTTCACTACCGTCTAAGACATTAACGTACATGGCATTCACAATCTTCACTAACGTCTTAGACATTAACGTACATGGCATTCACAATCTTCACTAACGTCTTAGACATTAACGTACATGGCATTCACAATCTTCACTAACGTCTCAGACATTAACGTACATGACATTCACAATCTTCACTAACGTCTCAGACTTATATACATTGACAATCAGTAACTGATTCATTTTAGAATTAATATCAATACTTCGTAGTACTTAATAACTTCTGCACTCAACATTAAATATTCAGATTAATTAACCATTTTCAGATATTGACGTCTTCGACATTCTATAATTAAGAACGCTCTGGCAATTAACGACTTAACGTCGTTCATGAACATTAATAACGTGTTACATTTTACGTTCTACCTCATAAAGGAGAATCCGGGGCATATAAGGACGGTAATCCCCAGGCGGACTGTCTTCACTCCGTGGAGAACATAGGGCTGGAGCACAGACAGCACTTAAAATGGGCGGGAAGTGAGTGAGTGGGTTGGGTTTAACGCCGCTTTGAACAGTATTCCAGTCACATCACGGCGTGTCAGCTTAACGTGGGAGGAAAGCCCGAAGTGATGCATTTGTCAGACATTTATCACTTTGCTGAAACCCAAGAGCACGAGGTTTGTACTGACAAACCTAAAAACATTTTCGCTGCGAACCGGGATTTGAACCCACAATATTAGGATTCTGTCGTTCCTAAGGGAGGCAACTCTGCACAGCGAATTGCGGCGACTTAGACGACAGGGCCAGGGTATCCCCGGATTAGGAGGAAGGGTATCAGAGTCTAGGATTTAATTGATGAAGATTTTTTTTCCCGTTAATGATGAAAACGTGATCCGTTTTCAGGTTTTACCTATTTAAACTAAATGCTGGATGTTATGGGGATAATGTGTGTTGGGACCAACATGTTGTTTGGCTGTTCCTACGGAGGACATGTCTGGAATCCCTGACTGTACACACAACACACAACACACAACACACAGCTCCCAGCACACCGCACGCCTCTTTAAGAAACGTGTCCTTTACATATTAAATGTTTTAATCCGATATAGTCTATGAAGGAAATTTAAGTATATAGGAACCTCAAGAATTCTATTTTTAGGAGCACATAGGCCTAGCTAGGGGATGAGAAGGTTTGGTCAATGTCTCCACTGGTGAAACCCATTGAGCCTAAGGAGAGGTTATCAAATGGATGGGGATCACCAAGAAACATTTACTTGTGATCTGGTTGAACTCTTCAGCAACCTTTATGAAGGACACTGATTGTGTGCTTCCTTTGATCCTGCAGAGAAACCTTTTAATGGCAAACGTCAATTTTAAAATAACAGACATGATGCTCATTTGTAGCTGTGCTGCTAGGGAACAGTTTCTATCTCACAATGTACATATGGCCGCAAATAATTTCTATGTATGTAATTAGTGTGTGTGTGTGTGTGTGTGTGTGTGTGTGTGTGCGTGCGTGCGTGCGTGCGTGCGTGCGTGCGTGCGTGCGTGTGTGCGTGCGTGCGTGTGTGTGTGTGTGTGGCTGTTTGTACTAGTCCGGAATGATGCCGATTTTATAGTGCTGATGTGGTGTTGAAGGATAGGGTGTGTTGTGGTGTAGTGGGATAGAAATATGGGTTGGGTGGGGGATGTGATTGGAGGGTGAGTAGGTGGGTGTTATACAGATATGTATGTTTGGGAGGGCGTCTGTGGATTGGATACTGGCGGATGGGTTGATGGGTGTAACGCCGGGGTGGATGGAGGAGTGGGTGGATGCTTTGCATGCGTGTATTTTGGTGAGTATGTGTGATGTGCAGGTTTTAAGCAGGTGCATGTAGGATTCACGCGTGTACGCATGTAAGTATTTAGGTTGTTGGTTGTGCATCCGTATGCATGTGCAGTGTGTATACGCATATATGTATTTGTGTGTGTGTCTGTGTGATTAGGTGTTTGTTTGTGTGTGTTTATAAATATTTGTATACGTGAAGGTATGCGCACAAAGACAGGATTTTACCGTTACAGTTTTTGTACATGAGAGTGAGTAAGTATGGTTT